AAGCACTCACACGACTAAATTATATTCGATTTGTCATTCGACTACCGAGAACAAATTAAAAAATGGCGACGAGGATTTGAATGAGACGAACAAAAAAAAAATTCTCTCAATAACGCGTTTGTTTGCTTGTTTCGATTACGAACCGGTCGAAGAATCTCCATTTTTTTTTTTTTTTTTTTTTTCAAACTTATTTCTCATAAGGTAATTAAGAAATCATCAAGAGAGTTAGTTATGAAGTCATTAGGATATAAATAACTCGTTATAAGACTCCGTCATGGAGTTCACACACGCGCACGCACACACACACACACACACACACATACACATACATATACGAACATGCGTGATTTCTTTAATAATAGAAAAAGAAAAAATGAAAATAAAGAATGAAGTCACACGTACACGCGCCCGCACACACACACACACACACACACACACACACACATACACATACATATACGAACATGCGTGATTTCTTTAATAATAGAAAAAGAAAAAATGAAAATAAAGAATGAAGTCACACGTACACGCGCCCGCACGCACACACACACACACACACACACACTCGCTTTCGTACCGTCGAATTTTTACGTACGATCTGGGCAATGGATCGATATATCGATATATCGATCGATCTCTCGTTCTTATATATTATTATTGTTATTATTAATAAATTTTTTTGTCGTTACTCACCCGCAGTGTCCAGTATTTCGAGAACGCATGGAGAATTATCCACTTCGATTTCTTTCCTGTAAAAATCTTCTATCGTCGGATCGTATTTTTCCATAAAACAACCGCTCACGAATTGAACCGTGAGAGCACTTTTACCCACCCCCCCACTACCCAAAACCACTACTTTAAATTCACGCATTTTAAAATCGTTAATATTAATATTATTAATAATAAATTTTTGGTAACTATATTTGACATTTAGAAATTATTTTTTTTTTATTTTAAATGATAATAATAATAATAATAATCATTCGAAATCGATGAGTGATTAGAATTAGACGACGTTGATTT